AAGTTTGCAATTTTGCATCTGGAAAAGCGAACGGGCAAATAACAATGTCAAACAGCACCAGCCATTTTCAGGAAATAACAGATGACAACTTTTTCATATGGATTTATCCGGATGGTCGAATTTGGTATGACACCAGAATTTCAGTTGTAAGTTGCTTTGAAAATAACCGTTCACGTTTGTCAAACCTCTGTAAAGAAGTTTACATTGAAGCGCTCTTTCAGATTGTGTCTTGCAACATGGACTTATGGAAATATCCACTGGACTCTCAGAATTGCCCTCTCCGGATATTATCCTGTAGGTTTTCGTTTTCCTCATTCTCACCTTCAATGAAACACGTTTAGATGCGTACCCTGAATCAACTTTACGCCTGATTTGGTTTCTAGCAGAGGATGGAACTCCGGCCATCGATCGAAACCGGGAAATTACCATGCCTGATATGCAGCTCAAGGACATTCAAACGGGTTACTGTAATGGCACATATGCAACTGGTAAGATGTGTTTTGTCACTATGACACATATCTATGAATATGTTATCATTATTGAAAGGAGCATTTTTTTTTGAGGGGAGTGAGGGGAACAGAGACCAACATCGCGAGAAAATGATATGGTTTTAAAACTCTGATATTTGTCCCCATTTCTTTGCAAAAAATTTCTCCCATTTCAAAAGTTGTTCCGATCACTTTCGCATTCAATTTGCTTGCTTAATTTTAAACATATCAACCATCTTCATAACTTTGTATTCTCGGAAAGTACCCTTGTGTCCAATATTGACTTGAACATACCATGTCTATTGTGTTACATACGGCAGGAGTGTGTAGAGAGTACCATTTATAAAATTGGTGTAATTTAGGAGTTTGGAGTTGCATATCGGCCGTATTTTATGTGGAGCGGGAAATGATGCACCATGTAATGCAAACGTATCTACCCACAGCCTTGATAGTAGTTATATCATGGTAAGAAGCTTTTCGCGGCTTTGTAATTTCGGTGTGCTCTCAACTTTTAGGTTTGAACTATTAGTGATCTTTTTAGGTTTAGTTTCTGGCTTGATGTTGACTCAGCTCCTGCTCGGGTGACGTTAAGCATTACAACGTTACTCACCATCTCTACCCAAGCAAATGCGGTCAAACTTGCATTGCCAGAGGGTACGTTAATTTCTTTACCGACACAGTTGAGGCTTCCCCTTGTTCGACCATATGAATAGTTCCAAAAATTCTGGTGAGACACAAACGCAGACCTTTCCTTATTCTATCAAGCGATATTACGGCCAAAAACTAAACAAAATTAGAACTTCCTTGTATGAATCCTGTACGGGGACAAA